CGGAAGAGAACAATAAGGGGAGAGCGAGAGTAAGCTTACAGAGCTCTTGCTTCTTCTCTAGGAAGGATCTGTCGAGGATGTCAGTAATAGGATCGTATAGAAGCTCAAAGCTGTTGAAGATCTCAACCGTTCGACCTCTCTGGACGCCGATCACGCAACCGTAAACCCTAGGGTTCTGTTGGAACGCGACATCGCCGCCGTGACCATTGCCGCTTGCGGCGGCGACCGACGGCGGAGGATTGAGCTGAGTTTTAACCCTAGTGTAGTGATCCGATATGTTAACGATCACAAGAGGATGTAGCTTGAACGTGAGACCGCTCGACGAAGAAGGCGCCATTGTCTTCCCTCTCTGCTCCCCTCACGCCACTTCGTCTTCCCCTCAGCTTTGCAACTATTCGCTTTTGCCGACCCCCTCGAAGTCGGATCCCATAGATCCACCAATCGGGTCGGGTCCATGAAATTGGTATTGGGCCTTAATTGGGCAATTCTATTCCGGCCCATAAAATTGGCCCTTTGTCGCATTAGGCCCGATGTGTTGTATACTGTAAAATATAAATTTATTGTTTATACTTTATAATATTCCAGAATTTCACTCGCCTGATGCGATTAGTTTTAGATTATTTTTTTTTTCATTTCATAATTATAATTGATTTCCAAAGTTTGTGTGCGTATATACACACACTATTATGGGCCCAATATAGTGACATAAGATTATATTGGGCCTAACTTTTTTATATGGGCTTTCTTATACTAATAAAATGGACAATGTCGTAACCACGAAAATTACGTTTATAATATTTATTTCCATTAAAAGATCTTAGATAGAATCATTGTCAATGCATATGATTGTACGGTACGGACAGGCAATGTCAACCTTGGATTAACCCCATATATTCGCTCATACGCTATCATCACATTGTTGGATTTTGTCGTGGCAACGCATAGGGCATGCATAGAAAAATATTCAGAAGAATATATATATATATATATATATATATATATGTATATATAATAAAAGTGTAAGATAGGTAGGTCAGTAGCGCACGTGTGACTCTCCATTGATCGTACGGGGGGGCTATAGGACCCTCTACGTTGTGCATAGAAAAATATTCAGAAAAATATATATATATATATATATATATATATATATATATATATTATATTCTTTTACATTGTATGGGATCGAAAAATGTGGATACTTATTATCCGGTTAATTAATGATTTGGACGGTGACTTTGATCCATGATTAGTTTCTAGTCGACGTCCACAGGAAATAAGAACACGAATAATAGTGGTGGTTTTGGATATTGTTCAATGAGGGTTATGACCGCAGAATTTCGAGGAAAGAATCTCTTACATGATACAATTCATGCATTTGTCGGAATCAATCTCTTTATAATAATTAAGAAAAACCCTATAGATGGAAACGTGACCATATATCATTATAATAATAATAATTATTATTTTATATAATTAAGAAGTTGACATCTGCTGAAACTAAGACCGGTGTTTCTACCAAAGTGGTTCACGAACCAAAAGGATATATAATCTTAATTGACAAAAATTTTATAAAGTTGACAACATACACACACACACACACGCGGCTGAGATATTGTCATCAATGGAGGGGACCATGCATACGATATATATATATATACACACACACATATATATATATATTCTCAGGCGAACACGAGACTTCAACTCTAAGATGCTGTTCCAATTCAAGATTCTCTTGTCAAACTACTTTCAAATAATATATATATATATATATATATATTCAACAAGTACATTCAAATTTAGGCATGTATGGTGTGGATTTCATTCACGTATGTTTATGTGTATATATACACACATATATATTAAAAAGGTAACGGAAGACTCTATGGTGATTTTTTTATGTAAGCTTGGGGCCAAAAGGAAAAATGAAAAGGGTGACGGTGGAGAAAGCGATACGCATAATTGAAATTCGAGTCGTAGCTTTCATTGCCTTTCTGCGTCACCGCAGGAAATGTAACACCTTCTCCCTTTGTAATATTCTTAAAACTTGGTCCTTCGATATCTAATTTTAAAAAAAAAATGCCATACATATATATATATATGTATATGTGTGTGTGTGTCCTTTTGAATGCATCGCCCCACAAAGTTTAGAAAAAAAAAACATTAAGAATTATTTCTAGACATTAATGCGATCTACGTGTGACTCTAGAATTGCCTTTTTTTAAAATAAAATAAAAAAAAAGAAAAGGTTTTTTTTTTTTTGGAGAGAGATTAAAAGATGGGGGGAGGGACCATAAAGGCATAGGAGGAGGCTCGAGAGGGGACACTACAAGGGCAAAAGGCAAAGCCATATTGCGAGGAAAAGGACTTCCAATAAACGGAGGAGAGGAACGCTCTTTGGGGGCCTGCCCCCCCTCGCCCTCCTAATTTCTCCTCTCTTTCATTTTATATATCTATATATACATATATACACACATATATACACATGCCTACGTATGTGTGTGAATATGGGGTTGGAGAGACAGCACAGCAATAGGGACAATGACACTTGCAATGAGAGTACGTACCCTGAAAAACCCTAATTCCTTTGACAGCGACATCTTTCCCCGAAGTATTCCCTCCCCATCCCTCTCTCACTTCTCATTCCCCATCTTCACTTTTTAACTCTTACACTTTAAATCGAACCGAATCGAATCCAATCTAATTTATTGTTTCCGTCCGGTTTTGTTTTGGATAAAATAAAATAGCTTTACTCTTGTTCTTTCTTTTTTGTTTCGTTGAATCGAGATTGTAGATATTTATGGATTTTTTGTTTTGAGATACATAATTTTTTTATAGTAAAAAAACCGATTTTTCAAATTTAAACCAATTTTTTTTTTAGAAAATAACCAATGAAAGATTTAAATCAAGAAATCGGACCCACTAGTCGTTGGTTTTACACTTGGGTTCGGTTTATTTTTAACTTTACATCTTGAACCGAACTGGAGCAAGTACAATATAACGTATCGAAACCAAACTTTATATATATAATATATATAAAAATCGACCGTTAATGAAAGATTTGTATTAAGATAGGAATAAAAATAAGAAGCCGATGTCCACATTAACCGTTGGGAAGACCACGCATAGCAATGATAAGAGAACACTGTGCAGTGATCTGACTGTTCGAAGGGGCGCATTGTCTGCCAAGGTGGGGTTTTGCCATTGGCCTACATGGCTCGAGACGCACTGTGCCTGCACCTAACCAAGAAAAATAAACTCTTTTTTCTATATATGCACATTTAAATATATCAATACTTCATTTGCACGAATTATTAATAATAATGGTGCCCACGAAGTTCATTAGTCTAAGTGAAAGATTGACAAGACAAATTCAATAACATACGAGGAATCATTAGGGTGACTATTGTTGGTTATGTATCAAATCAAACATGGCGCTTCTAATGACCTTAATGTGTGGTTTTCCTGTTCCTAGTCCACTCGAACTGCCGTTGAAAATAACATGACATTAATTTAGTCGTAAATCACCTTAATAAAAAAAAAGTTATCATTAGTGATAATCACACACGCTTGCTACAAATTTAAATAAAGACGTTTTTATATATATAGAGATAGAGAGAGAGAGAAAATCTCATATAACTATCATTATTTTATATAAAATGTTAAATAAATATCTAAAATTTTAATTTGTTTATATTAGTACTTTAAACATTAAAATATTTCAAATCCATATCTCAAATATTAAAAAGTTTTAAATGAATATACAATTCTCAATCGATGAAGATATGCCATGGAGCAATCACCATGCGAGATGCGAACAATGTCTTGAGACAAAAGAAGAGAGGTGATAGTCCAGTCAGAGATTAAGAGATTAGGCTAATGGATGGTTATAAAACGCGGACGTAAATTATAAATTCAAACTTTCTATAATTCTCTATCGAATAATGTAATGTAATATTATTTTTTGTAAAAGTGAAGATGTTTTAGGCGAACACGGGGTAGGGTGTCAGTCACGGATCTCACCACTCAACTTCTTCAAATTTTTCTTTTAAAAAAAATTAATTTTAATTTTAATATTTTGTTGCTCAAAGGGTCGGCTCGGCCACCTCGGAAATCGTGTCATTTCAGTTTGATTTGATAGAGGGTCGTTTCCTTTTGATGTTATATGTTTCCTTTTGATGTTATCGTCGGTCACATATATTACATATATATATATATATATATCCAAATAATTCTGCCAAAAAAAAAAAGAAGCTAGAGTCGTAGAGTGAATGTCACAACACTGAACGGGTAATCATGTATATAAATATAAATTTTTGGATTGTTTTTATGTATAATTTTTAAAATTTATATATTTTAGGAATGCAGTACAAAACCAACGTATGAGTTTCTTTAAAGTTATAGCTAGCTAGTCTTCATCAACAGACTGGATTTGAGATGAATTCTTTAATCTTGGCAAAACGCTTTTCAATCCCCGTGGCATATAATTAACGGACGACTACATAATATTTTTTATTTTATTCAATGTGAAATTTTCGAGTTTAAAAGTAACCAACGATGAGAATAACATCAGATTTGTGGTAGGATTATTCCAATTTTGTAAAGATTTTTTTTAAGAATTAAATAAATGATAGAACAAAAATATATTTTTAGAAAACATAAAAATTGTTTCATCTTTTAATGAGTTTAAAAGAATTCTTCCAATGTAGAGAGAAGATAAACTGATGTATATCAATTCTTTCTACATGCATAATATTTAATTATTTTTTTCAATATCATGTTTTTATATCAATTACATAATTCAGCAAAAATGGTTTGATATAATTCAAAAATATGATTTGACGAACTTTATCCGATAATTTTGTTATTTATAAAACTAATAAATGGTGATTGTGTTATAACATATCGATAGAAAAACACACGAGGTTGTTTTCTTTTTTGAGTTGGTTCATATATAATGATTAATGTAAAGAGATAAAATAATTATTCGTGTATAGAGCGGTAAAAATAATTTTATTTACATATATCTATATATTTATATTGCTATTTCTTTTTTTATTTGTTTTCTTATCTCATATTTTTTTTTTTATATTTTGTATCTTTTATATAGAAAATAATGCAAATCTTATCAATCATTTAATTCAATACAATCAATATGACGTGTATAGATACATCAATTTAAATTTGCTATTTCTATTTTTTACTTGTTTTATTATCTGAAATTTTTATATATTTTGTATCTTTATATAGAAAGCAATGCAAAACTTGCCTAAATTTATAATTTCTTATTATTTAAATAATATTTTCTTGTGCATGAACTTTATGTTACATATAGGGACCCTTAAGCTCTATCCGTTGCTTGATTCAAGAAAATAGATACAACTTCTAACGAAAAAGAAAATATAAAAATATCTAATAAATTGATTACATTTAAGATTGCTGCAATATTTTTTTTTGTGCAAAAGAAATAATATTATTTTTGTGATATAGTTCCCTGTGAACCGGAACTTCTACTTTTGGCCTTTTGGGGTTCAAGGAAATGGATGTAAGGCAATAAAGCATTTAATTAAGGTTGGTGAATGAATGAAAACTCCTACATATGTATCGTAATCTTATATTATCCTTAAAAAAACAATATCGAATAATAGTTTTTATTATATTCAAATTAAGAGTACGTAGTTTAATTATTAGACCAAATTAATTATTTCCATAACAAGGTTATGATTTTGTTTATTTCTTATTAAAATAATGTGTGTGAAATCTATTCCATACATCGTCATCATCATCATCATCATCATAATCCACCATAATAATAAAAAACAATGATGACGATGACGATGATGATGATGATGATGCTGCTCATGCATTGTATCTAAAAATTGAATTCATAAACCCTCCAAATAATTCGGAAAACCTTACTTAGAATAAAATGACAGACGTGAGATCATCATAATCATCACCATCATCATCATAATAATATATAATAATAATAATAATAATAATAATTTAATTCTTACAATGCCCATACATTGTATATAAAATTTGAATTCATGAATCCTCCAAATAAATCGAAAAACCTTACTTCAGAAAAGGATGACAGACGTGAGATCATCCTCTCTGATCCTCTTGCACTGCCACTTAGCCACCGTAGCTAAGTAAGCTACCACATATTTTCACTCTAAAATATGATATATAAATATTGTAATCAATAAAATTTTCAATATTTAATTTCAATTATTATTGAACCATTTTTAAAATATAGTATATGTGAAACTTTCATGTATATATATATATATGTGTATATATATATATATATATATTAAGAAGTGAGAGTGTGGGTTGGACCATAGAGAGAACAGAGAAGTGGACTTGGACAA